CACTCTATTTCTTGAAAATTCCATCCTTCAAGTATTATATTGCCCATTAAAATCAAGAATGACCAACATCTTTCAAGGTTCGCTTGCTGTGCCAAATCTAAGCAGGTTTTAGGGCACAATGGGTATTGATAATTTGGGTAAATGTGGTTCTGGGGATATTTCTCATATGAAGTGCTAAGAAAAGATCAGCCTCCTCAAGCGTCAAGCTCTTCTAGGCTGTATCCCCAGTATTGCCCACAAGGCTGCCCTCCCTCTCTGGGCCTGGAAGTAGAAGCCAGAGGCTCCCTGCTCCATTTGGGCTCCACTCTAAGAACATTCTTTCTCAAACATTCTAACAAAGGCTGGAAGTAGCACAAGAGGGTCTCATATGATTTCTCTGGGTATGAGACACTCCATTTTTACCCCAGATAAGGAGAAGACCATAAATCTCCATCCTCATTCCCTCTTGCCCCATCTTCTTTCACATTTCCTTAAGTACCGAGAGCTTGCTTGGGTGTCCTGGTCCCTAAAAAGGCTCCTGGACCCAGGCCCTTCATTTTGCATCCCTTAGATGTAACATAGAAATTGTTCCTCCAAAACATCCATTATTAAGGAGACTGTGAGAAGGACAGGATGGACTTGCCATATTGGAAGCAGAGAGATAGGTTACTCAGAGCTTTACCCTTCACATTGTTGCCTGTCAAATGGTATCACTACCTGTCTGACAAGCTAGTGAAAGCTTTGATTAGACTAGGAGATAATTGGTAGTGAACAGAACTCCTCTTTTCTACTGTGGGGCCTGACCATGGCACAGCCAGGAGATTTGGCCTAGAAGAGAATGACCCATAGCCTCATCCAGGAGAGTTCTCTTTATCATTCCTTACTTTCTCATCTAAGATTATACATGGGCAAGTGTTCCATTTGTCACACGCTTATCTTGCCTTACCTCCATCCAGATTTTGTCAGCTTCTAGAAGGTGTAGCACAATCAAAGGCAGCCTAAGGTAAGAAGATAGGAGTTGACCCTAGCTGTTCTTACTGTGTTCATTGATTTTTAAGCAACAAGATTGTCATTTGGTCTCTTGGAGCCCTTGTTTTCTCATCTGTCACAAGGAAAGGGTTCAGAGAATGCCATCTATCCTGCAGAGTTGCTCTCAGCTGAGGGATGATATTTATATGTCTGGTATTTTGCAGGCATTCAGTAAGCTCTATTAATATCACAAAATGGCAAGCCAGGCCTGGGAGATGGCTGCATTGTTCTTGGGTCAGAAGAGAGGGCACATGGGCCTTGTTTTCCTTTCTGCCAAGTTTCCCATGGGTCTGTACGAATGGTAGCAGTTCTGGTGAAGAATGGCTGGGCAATCTCAGTAAAGGGCTGAGCACTTTAAAGACTGAGACCACAGAGCAGATTTAAACTCTGTACAGGTGGGGTCTGCTGCTCTCTGACTCCCAAGAAAAGGCCAAGATGCCTGAATAGTTCCTGGAGAAACAGCCCCAGGACTCACTAAGCTAATTTGACATTT